ACAGATGGAATATCTCCAATGGCAATGATGGTATTCAATACCAATGTAACAAGATCAATGCAGTGCAACATTGAATGAAATGGTGATGATGAATTCGAAGTGTTAGAAGGGGTATATAAGCATACTGTGAACTTGGGTCAACAGAAATGTAGTTGCAGATCTTGGGAATTAAAAGGTAGCCCATGTGCACATGGTATAACAGCAATGAACCACTTGAACATGGATGCATCATAAGCAATTTCAAGTTGGTATAGAAAAGAGACATATCTGAAGACATATTCTCATTTCATTCAACCAGTCCCAAACATGGAAATGTGGCCTGAAAGCAAAAACCCAATGGTTGAACCACCTGAGGCAAGGCAAATGCCTGGTAGGCCACCAAAGAACAGAAGGAGAGAAATTGGTGAAGTGAGAAAAGCTGGGAAATTGCCAAGAATGGGGACAATAATGACATGTTCAATTTGCAAAGGAGCAAATCATAATAAGAGAAATTGTCCAAAAAATCCTAAACCTAAGTCTACACCAACACCCACTCAAGAGGTACATTCACATTAATTTACTTTTATAAATTAGATTAGGTTACTTATTAATTTAATCCCTTGTTGTATTCTTTTTCTACTCATATTAGTCCACCACTGAAAAAAAGAGGGGTAGAGGTCAATATGAAAGAGCAAGCAGCAGCAAGATTGGTACAAGAAGAGGTGCAGGAAGTGGTTACAAGAAGAGGCCTAAAGTGGTTGGACAAGGTGTATTTGTTGCAGATACTGGATATACATGTATTAATGTAAGTGTCTTATAAAACTGTCAAAATTATATTTTAAATGTAAGACCCAAAATAACTATGTTGTTAATATTGCAGCAAGGATTGTCTAGCAGTAAGAGGGTTAATACTAGTGTGGTGAGTTTTGCGCATGTGACAGGTGATATTGGTTTTAAACCTACCAAGGGACTGAAGTGGAAAGGCAAACATGGCATGACTCAAAGAGAACTTCAAGTCCAAAGTGTTATGCGTCATATTCAAACCAGATCAAAAGCTGCTGGAGTTCAAACAAGGGCACAAGCCAAGGGAAAATCACCCTCAAAGAAAACTTCTTAGTTGTGTGGTTGTATTTTGTGCTTGTGTGGTTGTTCAATCAAACTTAAAGTAGTGTCTGTTTTGTGTTTTGGTGCTTGTGTGGTTGTTCAACCAAACTTAAAGTAGTGACTGTTTTTTGTTTTGGTGGTTAACTTAAGTTATTGTGGTTGTTGGTTGAAATAATGAAACACTATGATGTTTGTGTTTGATGATTAAGAAAACACTAGTTATGTTATGCCTTTATGTTATTATTTCGTGTTTTGTTATCATATTACCAATTACATGTAACTGTAGTTTTATGAAAAAAGGACAAGTCAATTGAACATACACAAAGATATATTTTTATATATATAGCATTAATCAGTAGAAACATACATCACTAAAACACCAAACCAAACTAATCCACAAAATGAGAATCCTAGAACCAAAAGACCTTGCGTTAATAACAATTGCATTCACAAAAAAAAATTCAACGACACACTAAATAAAAGAACAATATCACATTACATATCAAACTAATGCCCAAAATCAGTTTCAACATCCTTCTACATTTCAGCTGTTTTTCTTGTTTGTTGGTCTTTTTCAACAGAACCAAAATCACAGTATTCGCCTGGCTAGGAAATTCTGGATCATACCAATCGAAAAACTTACAAGGATTTCGAAATGAGGACTGCATTTCATAAAATCAAAGTTAAAAAAATTACATAATACGAACTTGGCAAATAAAAAGCAAAAAAATATGAAACAATACATACCCCATAGTGTCTACAACCGAGAAATCTACGTCCGGGATTGTCATTTGTCCATGAAATTTTCAGAATTGGAGGAGTCCCACATAAGCAAACAAGTCTCCTATTATAATTCATGAATTTAGCAAGAGCAATTAAAACAAGAGAGAAAAATTCTGAAATTTGAAAAGGAAGAAGGGATTAGGGAGAATAAATAGTTAGAGAATAGAGAGAGAAAAATCTTTAAAATATGCCAAATATTAAAGAAAAATGGCTCTTTTACGTTTTTTACCGTTGTACCTTTATGATGTGGCAAAAAATCACTTCCTCACGCGCCTAGTAGAGTGTGTTGTCAATTTCTACGCCATGTGGACGAAAAAGGTGCACGCGACAGAGGAATAAACAAGTTCGGGGGGGTAATTAAAACGAAATTTAGTTTAGGTGTACACCGTATAAAAAGCTTCAAGTTCATGGAGGTAGTGAGTACTTCTGCCTAAAATAAAAGAAGGATAAACTACTTTATTAGACATACATCACTATCATATATACTTATTTTACCCCCACTTTCAAATAATTATATATATTACCACTTTTAATATTTTATACCATATATTATTGAAGATACAACCAATATCATGTCCCTGAAAACTAGGATTGATTAATTATCTTTACATTTAAACTTCAAAATTAATATTTTAATTAAAAACAAATATCTTTCTCTTAGAAAGTATGAGTTAGGGTAAAACTCTAACTCTAACTCTTCCTCTTCCTCTTTCCTTGATCAGTCGAAATTTACTGAGAAGAAACACTGCATTAAAATGGATATTCTACAACTTGTCAACACATATCAAATTCTTAGTCTTTGAATTTCTCACTCTCAAACCAATTCCTCACGAATCCACCATTTTTTCTTGCAAGGGAAGCGCGCACAAAGACAATGGGTATTGTTGTAAGCAGAGATTTCAAGCCCAATAGATTTATCAAATTCGACATTGACGATGGTACCAGTTGCATATCTTGTATACTATAGATCAACCAAGAAACTTCACGTCACTTCTCTCATCGGATCTAGGCGCAATAAGCAACACCGATGAATCAAAAGGTGAAGCAAACACCGCTGCGGTGAGATGCCCTGACCAGCCACGAGCGTAAGCGAAAAGTTTCAATAAGTGAAGATTTACACATGTATTTGACTCATTATTGATGTATCTGATACATTATTGAGATACAATTATATGTATCTAGTTTTTTATTAGTGATTCTTATTAAGTCTATGTATCTAATGAATATATTGGAGATTTACGTATTATCGGAAATTTACGCATGTATTTGACACAATTTATTCGGTCATGCATCCAAGTATTGTCATATGTATCTCGTCTTCTATCATGTATCTTAATATTATTATATATATTTTTTATGTTATTACAAAGTATCTAACTATTTTCGTATTTATCTGAGATATATAATGTATAAAAATTGATAGTTGATACATACATATAAAAGATACATGAAATAATATTAGATCATATAAATAGATACATGAAATCAATATTAAATCATATAAATAGATACATGAAATTAATACTAGATACTTCTATGATACATATAAATACACTTGTATGATACTCATGTATCTAAGTGTTTAGTTTGTTGGATACATTATATATTGATAATAGATACATCAAATTAATGAATTTATTACTTTAAGATTAATAAAATGAAACTAATTAAATTACATGACCAAGATAGACATATTTTTGTCTTTTATTAATAATATTAATGAATTTATTATTTCAAAGAATAATAAAATGATATTAATTAAACATAAATACACTCCTTGATTTCCACCTTATATTAAGAGATTTAATAATTTAAATTTTCAAAATTAATTGTTCATGTATTTTGAAAATCTTCAATTACTCCTCTAATTAAGGAAACCAGTTACAACCAATTAATTTAAATAAATAAAATATGTATCTCGATTTTAAAATTTGACAAATACATGTATCCCGCGGATTCAGATACATGTATCCCGCGGATTCAGATTCATGTATCTTAAGCACGAAATATGGTAGATGATTTAATATTTGAAACTATCGGAAATCTTAGTAATTAGGACCTAAACTAGTGGGATTACTATAGTTTACCCTAAAAAAAAGGCACACTTTTAAAAAAAATTAATATTCCTTCTCCATTGTTTATTCAATCGTTTTGTTGTGTTTTCGATATATGATGTAATATGATACCTTACTGATAGGTGATGTATCACGATGCATTTTCAGTGCATTACATAATGATACCTTTCCGATACATAATGTATCAGCATACCTTTTTGAGACACCTGTATCATGATACAATGGTTACGTTAAAGAAATCACATACCTATTTGATACTTTATGTTTGGACGACTTTCCTTCAGCAACAGTCTTCCCAGTGAAAGAAAAAATATGCTCATACACTTACCGTTGGCTAAAATTTTGAATAATTACACAAGAGCAAATTTAGGAAGATCTCTAGTTTGAATTTGAAGAAATTAAAAAGTAAATTATGCTAAATTAGTGGAGTCACGACGTGTGAAAGAAATACGATAATATAGGTGAGAGGGAAAAAAAGTGACATACAATTTCTAATTATGCGTGAACTAGGGAATTGAGTATAATCATATAAATTTTCTATTAAAATAATATTATAACTTTATTAAATAATTATTTTAATAAGTAAATATAAGATTTATAATTGCCATAGTTACATAGATTTTCCTATTATAAAATTACCCCAAATTGTCCGTAATGAGATCTCATTAATTAAAGTTCTAACGTAGTCTATTGGAATGGCCCAAGCGTTATGACAGTATTATTCATATCATTAAAAAAAAAAAAAAAAACCATAAGGTCGTACTTAAGCTTGCTGTAACAGTATTATTCATATCCAATTGAAAGTTGTATATACACTAGTGGTAGAATAGGACAATTTTTCTTCGTACCTCAAATATATATACTTAAAAATAAAATGATTTTCTTGGTCGGCAGGCCATGACTAAATATTGTTCTCCATCATTACATAACGTCATAATTTGAATGATAAACTTATAAGAAAAATAAGGTGCGAGATAAAACTACTATGAAAATGTAGGGTAAAGGATGAATACAATTATTAAATAGTAATAAAGACAAAATAAGAAGAAAATATTAAGGTAACCACGCGATCACACAAAATCGATCATTACATAAAATGAGTAATTTTCATCGTTACCTAACAATGGTTTAAATGATACTATACAATATAATTTAATTAACAATCAAAATAAACATTATATTTAAACCAATAATACAATACAACACAACCGATAACAACCATCCAAACAAGGTGTAGTAAGTGTGGAACAAAATGATCAAGAAATGTTACTAATGACATCCTCAATTAGAAGCCCAAGAGATGCATAAGATGAACCACCCTCCTTCATAGCTGCATTGCACTTCTCTTTCGTCTCGTTCGCCTTTCTCCTTATTATTTCATTCTCGTCTCCATTAGTCATCAACTTCCGTATGCCACTTTCGATTTCCTTCGCACCCACAATTTCGACATTCTCATCATTCCCATGGAAATCCTTGAAATAGTCCATTCGAATCTCCACTCCCAATCCCAATTCTTTAACCAACTCAAACGCGTTCATTTGTTGTTCAGCGTGCAGGGGCCAAGTAGCTATTGGTACCCCGAAATACAAACTTTCAAGTACAGAATTCCATCCACAATGCGATACAAATCCACCCACTGCTGGATGAGATAGTACCGCCACTTGAGGTGCCCATCCTATCACTTTCCCAACCTCAATTGTCCTTTCAATAAACCCTTCTGGTAGCACTTGCTCAACATTCTCGTAATTACTCGGAAGCCCAATTTGCCCCTTTGGTGGTGGTCTTCGCAAGGACCATAAGAATCTATGACCACTACACTCAAGTGCAATTGCTATTTCATTGATCTGTTCGATTTCAAAGCTTCCCATACTTCCGAAGCACAAAAACACTACAGAGGACTCTGGCTGATCATCTAACCATTTGATAATGCTTTCTGTTTCGGATTGACTGTTTCGACCATGACCTCCTTCCTTCAAATTCACCACTGGACCAACTGGATAAATTCGCGGAACTGAAAGAGACTGAAGAGGTAAAGGTTCTAGATCGGTGAATGTGTTGACCATAATACCCTTCGTCTCTTTGATTCGAGTAATCAAATCGAAGAACGTAGTCGTCATTACTGATTGATCTGTTATCAGTCTAGGCAAGAATTTCGATGGATACGGGTTTTTAAAACCCGGGATTGTTAATTCTTCATTGGAATTTTTGTATTTGGAGGTATCGATATGATGCTCCTTTTTCAGAGACTCAAAATGAAAACAGAGGGCAAGGAAAGCAGCATTTGAGGTGTAGAAAATGTAACTTGGAACACAAAATTCATCGGCTACGTCTATCATAGGGGTGCAAAACATGTCGAGAACGAAGCCAGCGAGACGAGAATTCGATCTAGAAAAGCTGGAGTTATTCAAAAAATCTTTTACTTTAGGTTTGTGACTTTGAATGAAGTTCATGAAGAAAGTCTCCTTATTTGACATGAATCCAGCAATAGTTTTTTCGTCAACAGTGATGTCAACGAACTGCAAACGGGGTATAGATGAGAGTGATTCGATGTAAGATTGAATGCCGAAATCCATTGGAAGCTTCATAATGAGGATAGAGATACAGAGCCGGTCATCTCTGTTGAGAATGAGTTTTGCAATTTCAACGGCGGAAATGAGATGACCTGCTGCCGGAGAAGGGATAAAAACAAGTTCTGCTTTCGTCGTCATTGAATTTCTGTGAACAAATTTGTGACTCCTACTATTCCTTATATATAATTTGTAGCATTATTAAAAGCTAATTATAAACTTTGGTCTTGGTGAAGGCCATATCATATTATATATAGTTAATGGTGATTATTTTAACTCAAAACTTGTATCTTGCCCAACAAGTTTTTAATGAAATCTCATTAATTAAAGGTTTTTTCTTTTGACTAGTCTGCTCGAATGGCCCAAACGTCATGGCTGCTCCAAGCAATTTTCAAGCTTAAATCATTAAAAATTCAATTGGGTCGCACAAAAATTTGAGAATTTTCAAAAGTTGTTTTAACTTTATATCCCTCGTAAAAATTCAAAATTAACTTAAACTTGTATTTATATCCGAACTCAACTCTAACTTCCCAATATATTTTTTTAAAAAGGAAATTTACCACTAGACAGTATCTAGCAACCTTTTATTAAACATAAAAAATATCAATAGGAATAAGTACAAGTAAGGGGAGCTAGACCTTACCTTACTAATCCTAATGAAGTACCTACCTTCTACTACCTAACAAGCATGAAGAAGATAAGAGTTAGAGAGAACTAAACATTTTCTGATCACCACAGAGTTTGCAACACACTACATGATGATATTACAAATGAGGATGCTTAAATAATGTAAAAATATGTCAATCAAGAAGAAAGTTGCGTTATCAGCCTCAAACTTTCTATTACAAAAGCATGAATTAAAAAAGATTGATTGCCCATCAAAAGTTAACATAAAGTATTTTTCTCTTGTCTTCTTCTTCAAACCTATCCAACAACACTTAATAATTCATACCTTATTTATGGATTTATTGGATCTTGTTGAACATATTGATATTGTCAAATGGTTTTGTTTTGTCTGTCGCATCAGTAGGTGCCTTGGAACAAACTCTTCAGTCATTTTACCGTCCCAACTATGTTGCCTTCCATGTGTCTTCTTTTTGCTTTTGTTGCTTCCACTTCTTTGTTGCCTATGTGATATATCCCCTTCCCTAGCCACTTTATCAAAGCATATGTCTAGCATATTGTCTTCCTCATCTTCATCAAAAGAATCCTCGCCCAAATCCATTGTATTTGACACTAAAACCTGTGACTCATTCTTCTTTGCAATCACACATTAGACACAAATACGGGAGCTTTTGGACTTAACTTGTTATTCAAAGCAGGTGGTGAGACCTGTTTTTCTTGGATTAAATCATTGTCATTCTCTGTTAACCTTACTTGCTTTCCAGTAGTCTTCAATAAAACATCAAAATTATTCGAACACAATAGGTCTCTTGAGGCATTACTAATATCTTGCCTCTTCTCACTGTCATAAAAATTCCTAGACGCACCCTTTTCACTATATGGAGAATTATTTTGACTAGTCGGAGAAAGGGTCCGACTACTAGTTGAATTTTTGTGTGCAACCAGTGTCCAGTTTTTAGTTGCATTCTCATTTTCAACTTGCAAAACATGCTGCCCGAAATTTTCAGCATCTTCAACATTAGATGTATCCATTAATTTTTGTCTCGAATCTATTAATTTTTGTCCTAAACCAACTCGCGGCGCATCAACTCCAACTCTTGGTGTTCCCCCTTTGTTTTTGGTAGTTGTTTGAACATCAATATTATATTACTTGTATCAACATCCATTGAGTTTGCACGATTTTTCTCAGAAGTGGCAGCAACCAATTGTCAATCTAAAGAAGTAGCTTTACTTTGATCGACATCTACAATCTTTCTTTTTTCATTTAGTATTTCTCTCGCATCACCTTGATACTTTTCACTATCGATAGTACCTCTTAAAGCAACTTCAATGGTATCATCAATTTGTTTGTTATTTTGATTTCTTTTCGAGATCAAACGACAACTATCTTCATCATAACCTTGGTGCTTACCATAATTGCAATACAAAGGTAGATTATCATATACAGTGTCTTGAAAAATCTCGATCAACTTACCAGATTTTCCATCCACAAACTGCAACCTTATACGATTTGCATGCTTTTCCATTAGATCAAGTATAGCCTTGACCCTAGCCGTGTTAGATCTTGACTTGATTTGAGTAGCTTTATCTATATCTATTGGTTTTCCAACTGCCGATGCTATAGACAACAAAGACTTCTTTGCAAACAAAATCGGAGATAAGTTTGGTAAAGAAATCCAAGCCACAGCTAACATCATTTCCTCCTTAGGATTATATCCAATGGACCATGGAAAAATCCTACATTGATGCTCCTCTCCATTGTAGAGAATATAATTAACTGAGCGAGATAAAACTAGTACATAATCTTCATATTGGTCAAACCTCAACAAAATTTGACTTGGAGCAAGTAAGCCAATTAAACAATTGCCCTTGGTATCAAGATGTTTTGGTAAAATTGAACTTAATACTTTCAAGTCTGGCACATCATGGGATAATTTAAACACCACTGCTTGATGCAATCCCTCTTCGATCATAAAGTCTTGTCTTTCCTCCATTGAAAACGTGATAGTAGGTTCTCCATGAATTATTTTGATAGATTTTACGATTCTTTTTCTGTTAATTATGGCAGATTGTTTAGAATTTAGAGTATTGAAATTGAAAAGGGTGACGTATGTGGTGGTGGGGTGGACTGGATAGCCTCGAAAGGAGGCTGTCCAGTGGCCGTAGCAGCCATGATAGCTGCGCAATTGCTGCCTATGTTGGGGCCACCGAAAAAACCCTAGGTCGGCGGTTTTTCAAATTAATACTTCCAAATACTATTTTAAACTCTTCTTTTCCAAATATACATTTGTCCAAATTTCATATTTTTAATGTCGAAATGACTACTTTATTTTGCGTGTAGTTATAAAGTGCGCGATTCAGATTTAGTCCTACAGTGACATTTAGTTGGAGCTCTAATACGAACTCCAAACACCGAGTGGAAAATAAAAAAAAAAGTTATATTATTCGTGTCCAATTAAAAATTGTATTATCTCCTTGATAGACTAGTCTGGAGTAGTTTCCTGCTTACTTTATATAAATAAAACTTAAAAATTAATTGATTTCTGTTTTACCAGAAAAAGATTTGTGGACTTAAACATGACTAGTAGGTGTTTGACCATATGATATCAAATCATGATATGAAATCGTGAGATGAAATCAGTGTTTGGACATGTGATTCATGTTGATTCCATCTCATGGTTTCATATCATGAGATGGAATCTCATATTCTCCAAAAATCATCATTTGGGAATTCCATATCATCATTTGAGATTTTTCAAATATAAAATTGACCACAAGTTTATATTTTGTTACAACAACCCCACATTTATATCTGCTAACCATTTATTTCATATGAAAATAAAATTTATAATCACATCGTTACTTTTTAAAATTTATTATTCTCACCAACATAAAATTTATTACTTTAAATTTGGTGCATATAAATGATAAATTAGGAATTGATTTGGTGAATATAAATAAGAATGGAGGGAGTGATACTTTTTTTTTGGTTTTTCATAATAATAATAAAAAACTTCTCTTTCGGCTACATATGAAAATGTTTAAAGCAATTTAATATGAAAAATGACAAAATTGGTGATGTATGTTTGATAATCACTACTTCCAATATGTTTGATTTTAGCATGAAATTAATGCACTAAAAATGTGTAATTGCACACAAGTGATACAAGGCATGAACCATTATGATATTGACACACAAATGAAAAATGTCATACCATGTGTAGTGTTACATAATTATTTGCGAGAATATCAAAGGAGTGATGAAATATTTATGGTTTATGAGCATGAAAATATAGTTGCAGATGATATTGACCAACAAATGACTCAAAGTAAGAATGTTGGTACGTCTTCTCGGTCATATGATCGAGAAATGCAAGTTCAATGTGAGGAGATTGTTCGTACTATGTGGAGGATTATAGGGAAAATGCATAAGTACCCCCTCACCCTATGCCTAAAATCCCAGAGACACACCTAACCTTTACTAAGGTCCTATTATCCCCCCCCCCCCCCCGAACTTAATTTATCTATAATATTCTACCCCTTTTCGGCCTACGTGGCACTATCCTTGAAAAAAATGTCAACATGCGTTGGGCCCACCTGATAGTGCCATGTAGGCCAAAAAAGGGTAGAATATTACATATAAAATAAGTTCGGGGGGTAATAGGACCTTAATAAAGGTTAGGTGTGTCTCTGGGATTTCGGGTATAGGCTGGGGGGGTACTTATGCATTTTCCCGAGGATTATATTAAAGACTAGTACACTACAATTTATGTTCAATTTTTTTATTTAATTAAGGGATAAGGCACAAGTACCCCCCTATACTATGACTAAACTAAGGTCCTATTACCCCCCTGAACTCATTTTAAAAATATTTTTGTGCACCTTTTGGATTACATGGCACACTCTGTGACTGCACGCAATCGAGGCGCGTGGGAGATATTTGGATGTCACATAAGCTAAAAAGGTGTAAAAAATTACAAAAAAATCGGTTAGGGGGGATAATAGGACCTTAGTTTAGTTAAGATGTGTCTCTGAGATTTCGGTCATAGTCTAGGGGGTACTTGTACTTTTTCCCTTTAATTAAAGCTTGATCAATTAAAGTTGGGAAAATGCATAAGTACCCCCCCAACCTATGCCCGAAATCTCAGAGACACACCTAACCTTTACTAAGGTCCTATTACCCCCCCGAACTTATTTTATATGTAATATTCTACCCCTTTTTGGCCTACGTGGCACTATCTTGTGGGCCCAACGCATGATGACAACATTTTCAAGGATAGTGCCACGTAGGCCGAAAAGGGGTAGAATATTATAGATAAATTAAGTTCGGGGGGGGGGGGTAATAGGATCTTAGTAAAGGTTAGGTGTGTCTCTGGGATTTCGAGTATAGGCTGGGGGGTACTTATGCATTTTTCCATTAAAGTTAGATGAAACAATTACTTAAGTGGAGAACACATAGCTTTGTAATAATTTATTATGCGATTTATAAATTTTTATTTATTTGATAAGATTGAATA